CTGAAGAACGTCAATCTTCGTTTTTCCTGTGCAGCTATCGCACATTACGCCATCCGAATAGACATCATCATCTTCTTGCTTAATTTGTGTTCAAACATTGCATACGGCTCGTTGCTCGCGGCGGAGTTCTATCACGCACTAGCGCGCGCCTGCTTCGGGGTTTCGGAGGCCAAGGCGCAGCGGCCAATGGGAGCCCCGTCGACGCGCGCCAGCCAATGGAATCGAAGGCGAATCGCTCTTTCTGGGATCGCGGCGGAAACTAGGAGCCGTTTTTGCGCTTCAGTCGGCCCGCTGCATCAGGCAGTTAATGCTTTCGCATCACAAAAACGAGTTAGAGGTGGATTCTAAAGTGATTTTATCTCTTGAATATGAATACTACGTTCCTTTTTTCCCCCAAAGATGTAACTAAACGCGAGAAAACACGGAAAACCTCCTTCCAGTCGAAAAGGATGTTTCGGCTGTCAAGCGCGTGTCGCTCGTGTGGACAGAGCGTGCCACTGCCAGCTTGCAAGGTATATTCCCCCGCACTGACACCAGGGTAGCTAAACTCGTGGAGCAAAACATTCTTCGTTTTTTGACGTAGCGGGGGGAGTGACCAAAAGAACGCCGCAAAGTTTCCTCCTCCCTGCGCGCGCTCCACTTCGCAACTTTTGACGAAAAATCCCCCGCGATCCCTAGGCGGTGCACGAGAGCACGAGACAGCGCCGGGAGGCGAGCGTTCACGCCGCTCGCTGTACGTCGTCTTTGGGCTCTCTAGCGCCGACAATCCCGTCATGCCTCGGCCAGGCGAAGAGCGAGAGCAGACGACGAGAGTTCGTCTGCTACGATGAGGCATTCACACAGCGGAACTGAAAGAAAAAGTTGGTTTTCTGCTCGAAATCGCGTCCCGCGGTCCACAAACTCAAACGCGAGCTTGATTTGTAAGCGTCTGATATTTCACGAAAGGAGGAATCGACGGCCCGTCTTTTATTTGCGAAATTTGAGTCGTTTTGTAGCCGTACAGACGCTGAAACCTACCAGTGTGTAATGAAAGGCCCAGGACAACCACAGGGGCCGCGAGATCTAGCATCATTTGTGTATGGGTGAAAAGTGCAACATTTTTCGACAAAGCTCCCACAGCAGAAACCTGCGACGCATTCACTCAGCGTCCGGGAAGGCTAAACATGGAGACGTTGCCCGAGACTCAAGCAAAGTCATATCTGAACGGCAGCTATCTTGCCCCGTCATATTTTGTTTTGAGAAAGCTCTCGTTCTCAATGCCTTCACCAGGGAAATAAGAAGTCTTACGAAACGTATTGCTAGATTTTCCAAAGAACTAGATTTAAGCCGTATCGTTTCAGTGGTTCACTCATAATGCTATGCTTAAAACGAATCAAGCTCTTGCGCGTACAGTGCCATCAATTTCCTCAAGCGTATGCTGTTTTGTAGTCAACTGGTTTCGGAAACTTACGCCGTCTGTAGATATCTCTGACAGCCGAGTTGCTTAAGTGGAAGTCATCGCAAATGTAAGTTCCACGTTGCAGCAACCAACGTTTAAACGATGGCAGCGACTGCACTCTCGCATTCCCACCCATCACGTCGAACAAAAAGGCGCTAGTTTCGGTTTGAGGCCGGTACTTTTCTACAACATCTATGGCGACAGCATCAGTCTGCACTGGGTGCATTCGGCAAGTTCGTTCGGGGCCTGTTCTCCGTGCAGCACTCGGCGGGTGTAATGCATTAGAACTCTCACAGTGCAAGTCTGTATCCCGTCACTGGCCTCACCGGCGGCCATTGCTTGACGACAGGCAATATGCCGCGTCCTGTCTAGTTCTCCCTTCGTTTTCGTCCTTGTTGCTTTGGCCTTTTACATCATGAGGCAATACACGCAAGTCTAAGGAAGAAACATGCAAAAATTGGAAGCTTGTACGCGGTGCTCGAAGGCGAGCATTTTATGACGTGCTGCGATGATTATGTCGGGTTCTTGGAGATCAAATAGACATTCGTCAAGCGTTTGAACATCGATTAAAAAAAATTGGCCGGAGCACGATTGACTTTACCGACGTCGCTTGCTTCGGTTGCTAAATAATTGGCACGTCGAGCGACTGAACGGCACGCTCCGAGTTTCAGTTTATCACGGAAGCCCTCACAGGAGTTCTAAGAAAAAGCTTTCACCATGAAGCACTATGTACAAGCGGTCAAAACAATGCGAAAATCCCCAGTAAAGGCATTCTAACTTATCGTTTGCTGAGCTTTGATGACTCCGAAATCACGGATGACTCCACTACAACTCTCGGTAGCCCTTGTCTCATTAAACACATCACAGTTAACGCCCAACAAAGTAGCCCTGGACCCTCAACCACACAACATTTAGTTAAACAAGATTGGTATTCTAACGCGTTTAATATTCTTGCCCACAATATTAACTGTTATTTGCGGAAACATGATAGAAGTTTCATGGTAGAGAACAACCTACTAATGTAATAAAATTGAGTTGTGTCAAGCGATGACTGCCGGTGGTGCCGCTCGACCCCAGCAATACAGGCCTCTATCCACGATCTAGCCTCCTAAGAAATCAGTGGTGCCAGTGCTATTAACATAAATCGTTTATTTGCATCGGTACTCCCATACCTGCGGGATGTAGGGACGAGGCGCAAAACCGTACATCCGGCCAATATTGAAGCCGGTTTTCGGACGATATTGCCTCGACACTCGCCAAGAAGCAACGTGCTGTTTCGGCGACTCGTTTGTGTAATTTATTTCTTCAGTCATATTAATGGGTCCCGGGCCACTGTGTACACCCCAAAAAAGAAACGTACTGTGGTAATTACACCTTGAGGAGAAGCAGGCACGTAGCCAGATTTTCGTTTAAGGGGAGGGGGGGGGGGGGGAGGCGGGGGGGGGGGAGGGGGGGTGCCGATGACAAAGTGCTCTATGAGGGGGAGGGAGGAGAGGAGGCCCCAGCAAAATGGAAAATTTCGGGGGGAGCGGGAAGGCCAGGCCTTGTGCCCCCCCCCCCCCCCTCCCCTTGGCTACGTGCCTGACGAGAAGGGGTATTGTAGTTTTACATCTTTATAAAAAGTTGTAGGCATTATCATACGTTTTAAGAAACGTGTTTAAAAAATCACACATTCTTAAAGGTGTGAAGTTTACATTTCTTTTATAAGGTCCATCGCTACACTTATTAGTGTGTTAGTTATGGGACACCCCACTTACATGTTTAAAGGTGGGAAAATGCTTAATGTGTATATACCTCTAACAGAAGACAATCTCTTTCATGTGATTACATCGCGTGCCGATGAAACGATCTGTCGATGACACGTCGTTCGATGAACTGATTTGACCGCCAATGAGTGACGACTGCCAGTAGAATTTCGGGGAAATAATTCTGCCGGCTGCCGGGAGACTCGACCCTACCCAAGAATTACCCCGGTTCTTGTTTGTTTTCCGACATTCTGAATTGTATACCAGCTTATTAGTACCTCTTCGGATATACAGAAAAAAAATTAAAAAAAGCGATGGCAGCCGCGAAAACTCCGACAGCCCGGTTCACAGTCATGTGGGAGACTGACAGGTGCTCGTCAGTCGCCACCATGCCTTGAAAGCTACCGGTTCCGAAGAACCGGAGCGCACAGAGAACTTGTTGTTCCACGGTTCGAGGCGGCGAACGAAGCTCGTCGCAGAGTCAACGCACAACGGCTTTCGATAGCCCATACTGTCGCCGAAAGTCGTCGTCGGGGAGTTGAAAGGCGTCCCCAGTGGTCTCAGTAGCGACGCCGACGGTGGCGGAAGATAAGCTCGGCCGCAGCGTACGGCACCGCCATGTTGACAAAGTTTAACTTCGCCTCGATCCGAAGCGAAGATCTCGAGCTCAAACCACGGCTCCCGCAAAGTTCGGAAACGTCACTTTGACGTCAGCGACAACTTCGACAAACGAGGTTTCTTGTTAACACAAACTTCGGAGGGAGTTTGAGCGTCAGGAGTTCGCCTAGGGACAATCTGCAAAGCATTAATTTTAGCTTGGCGTAGGGATGTAGGGACAAATGGGCGCTACGTCATCGGCGAAGCCGTTCAATCAGCGAGCTCCTCGCGCCCCTCACGCGCCGCACGCGCCCCTCACGCGCCGCACGCGCGCCTCGATGAACTTTGCTTTGAATGATTGACACCTCGCTCGGCGCGACGTCAGCGTAGCGAAAGTCCAATTAGCGCGTTCCGCAACTTTCGGACACAAAGTTGTGCTTGACGAGTTTAGCGACCCAGTCGTGACGTCTTTTTCTGCCTTTTCTGGAAATAACAGGAGTGCGCGTGCATAGCTTTGAGAGGCGCTGAAGATGCGCGAGGCGGAGGTTCCAAAAACTCCTTTTATGACGTAACTTCGGGAAGCATGCAGAGGCTTCGGTTGTATATTTTGAATATTATTTCCTGCAATCTCCGCGCGCCAAATTGAAAAATAATCTCGATATTCGTGATCCTGGAGGCCAAATGAATATGATTTTAAATGTTTTTATGTGCATACAAAGCCGCTTCAGATTTTCTTGGAAACATGACGCTTCATGTTGATGTATTTGCAGAGTATTCGATGCGCAATTTCGTCTGCTTCTTGGGCAGCTCGTGCGTCGGTTTACCCCCGACTTCAGCCAGTGACAGTGCAAGTTTTTTTGCCTGGTCATCGCACGTTTCTCACACGTTATCTATGGTGCCCGTTGATGGGCGTGCCCCTCTTCGCGTTCCGATGTGCCAAAGAAACATTTTAGAACACTTGCTCGCCGTATTGCCTTCTCAGAAAGAACTTGGCGTACACCTTTTCAATTTAGTCTTGCATGAAATTGCAATGCAATAGAGTTTTTTTTTTTTTTTTTTTTTTTGTGTATGGTACCTTTTGTATGTGCCGCCTGGCACATTCGAAGAAACTGACTGGTTGCTCTGGAGTACGGGACAAAGAAATCAATATTATCACTACGATCATTGTAAAAAAAAACGCGTTAAATTTATATTCAAGGCGCATCGAATTCCCTTTGCAGTTTTGCCGGGTGGCCTACGAACTGATGCAAGTCCGCCATCCAGACGCGTCGCTCAAGACCGTGTCTCTAGACGTGGAGTACTTCTTCGCCTTCGTGTCTTTTCCGCCCAGGAAGACGCTCGAAGAGAACAGGCCCGCGCTACCGCACGAGTTGGGTTGGTCGGGCAAAGGGCAGCTGATCGAAGCGCCAAGCAAGTACGTTTCCGTGGACGAGGCAGTGAAGAAGAAATTCGCCGATGGATTCAGCATGGGCCGTGTACAGGGACGTGCGACCAAAGACGCGCTGTCCGTGTTTCCCAGGTTCAAGACGACGCAGACGTACAGTGTGGCCGACTACGCGGCCTTTGCCGCGCCTCCGTCGCAAGCCTAACGCCGCGTTCACGCTGTTCGCGTGCGTCACACAAAAAGACACGGTGTTTCTATGCAGACGTCATGAGAGAATTTTCTGCGGGCGCAATCCTCAGGCACGCTCAGACCACCGTATTCTTCGTACATCTGTATGTTTCGAAGTTGCATGCACACAGGTTTGTACAACAAATAGGACCTTCATAGGCACGCCCTTTGAGGTAGCACTTGGTTTCCTTAGTCCTTTGACAGTGCCTCTTCAAATAAGATTATTGCAAACCAAGGCGCCGACGCGTAAGGCTGGTTCCCATGTGTACCTTTGGCTGTGGTCGACTGCGTTGCAGCTACTTGGTGCAGCTTACAACGGGGGAACACTCTAATGCCATCCGTCGGGTATTGCTGGAACTGATCCGATCTGCGTATATTTTACGCGTAATTCTCTCACCGTGTGCTTGATACAATTCTGACAATAGGCAGTTTTAGTATAGCGTTGCTGGCTCTTACGTACGCAATACGCAATAGTATAGCGTGCGCTAAAAATGACCTGCTCGGACCGAATTTAGTTGTGCGTTACGTTTTCGAGTGAACACTGCGCATGATCTTGGTTAGATTTGCTAGAGCTGCAGAATTCCGCGTGCTTCTAGCGCAACCATGCTCCTGGAAAGAAATATTGAAAATGAAAACGTGTCCAATCATTTTATTATTTCAAATTAAACCAAGCCGCAGCTGCCTCGTCAAGCGCGCTTTTCTGCGGGGTACAGTGGCTACGAGTAAAGGCCGGTTCAGAAACTTGCGTTTGAGTGCGTTTGACTGCGTTGCGTCGAGAACCGAAAGCGAGTCACCGGCACAGGGCCGTAACCAGGGGGGGTTAGGGGGTTCTGACCCCCCCCCAAATTTTTTTTTGGGCACGGCCCTGGTCGGTGCACTTGCAGCCAGCCGATTTTAATCTCCACCTATGCGCACGCGCAGTGGCACCGGTCGGCTACCGGGTACCAAACCGGGACCGGTTCTTTGGTTTGCTATGACTCTCCATTATATGCCACCGATGCACATGATTCATAGGCGAAAATAAGACAAAATGGCCGCCGTTGTCTCCGAAAACCCCCCCCGAAATTTTTTTCTGGGTACGGCCCTGCACCGGCACATCTGTGCTTCGTGGGAAGCGCGCAATCATATTCAAAGAATCATCTTAGCACGCGGTGTAAGTAGCAGGGATGTCCTGGTTTCTCGCTGCCGCAACGCAGTCAAACGCAGTCAAACGGAACTGTCTGAACCAGGCTTAAGAGTGCGTAGCCAAATTCGATCACGGAGCCTCCGTCAATCTTCCCTTTGAAACGGCACCTTTCATCAATGCTATCGCGGAATGAAATTGATGACCTACTGATGTCCAGTACATAGCGAGAACTTCGGCGATTTCTTTTAGAGTCGCTCGTCCGTCGGCGATGAACTGTGCGAATAGGCTTAGCGTATAGCAGATCGCAGCGTTGACGCACATTCCAAGCGGCGAACATTTTCACTGTGCACTCCTTCAGCTGCACGGCGATCTGATTCGACCGCCGTAGGTCCCGGAAAGAATTGCCGAGCTGAACACCACGCAATTTCACGTAACACAGAACTTCGAAAACACCACGTCGCCTTTGCTGCGCCAGTCGAGGTAACCGCCATCTTGAAACTGGCGCTCTCGTTGGGTCCGAGATCTCTCGAGAACGTCCCGCAAAGCCCGCTAGCCAGCAACGCAAAATCCCCAGCATTGCGTGCGTACGCAATACGCTAGCTCTTCTATTGCGTTCTGCGCACGCGCACTCCCGACCCGCAATTTTATTGCGTACGCAAGGCTTTAGCGTACGATCTACTAAAACTGTCTAATGACATAAGCGACCATTTCGCATATTGCGTGTAGTTGATCCCGCAAATTCTTTGAGACTTTCAGTCTAGTTATACGCGAAACGGAAGTATTTCAGTTATCCCCGATACACGGCGCCAGCCCATCTATTGGAATTGGGGTCGTACCCGAACGCGATTGTGTGAACCATGTGATTACTTTTGGGTGGTACAAGTTGAGAATAAACGTCAGGATGATTTAAATAGTAATTAAAAGCGCACCTGTTTTCCAGTAACGTTTAAATAAAACCTTCCCGTAAAAAAAAAAAAAATCCCCAGAAGATGTTTTTTTTTTGTCTATCATTTGATATTTTCTATGCGTATTTATGTTGTCTTTAAATCCAAGATTCACCAAGCAAGAAATATTTATAGACGGATGAATACGAGCGAAAGGCGGCGCTTTTCCGAGCAAATCAGCGTGTTGAACTCTCTTTTTGCCTGGGACTTCGTTCGTCCGTTACGTATAAGGCTCCTTTGCGAGCAAATCAGAGAGCGAGAACACAGACAAAAAGTAATGTCTCATTGCAAGCAGATCAAAAAGCGAAAGAAAAACAAGACAGGAAAAATAGCTGCGCTAAAAAAATGCTATTTTTGTTCCCCAGGCTGCGGGCTTTCAATCAATAAGTTATTAATAAAAATATAACTTAAACGTTTAAATATACAGCAATTATTTCTTCCGCATTTTTGCTAATGATGTGAATTACTGATAAATTAACTTGCTATTTTCAAAATACGTCTAGGAGGAGTGATAAAGAAAAACCTTGTTCGGTCTACAGGGATTTAAATAAAATTACTCGAATATACATAAAATTAATCTGACTCAAATCAAATAAGATTGATTCATTTATTTAATTAAAAAAACGTGATCGTTTACCATCCTGGTATCATGAGAGCATGATTATCTCTATTTGAGTTACACTAGGAAACTGCCTTTGTTTACGCTATTGAGTATCATCGGGGGGATATTCAAATAAAAATTAGAATAATTTGTTTGTACCATTATATTTTATTTCTACAAAAGTAGGAATACAGTAATAGATACGTATATAATTCTAATGGCATTTATTGCCCTCCTTTGCCGTTTTCCAGTCAATTTTAGGTTTCTCTTGTCAACATAAATTTGTACATAAATGGTGCGAGTTTTTCAACAACCTTTTTCTTTTTTTTTTGCGGCAAGTTGCTTCGTGTGAGGTATTTTCTGCGTGCGCTTATGATGCATACATTATTTTAAGTATCGTTTCGATCGTTTCAGATTTCCCATTTGTTTCGAGTGAATTTGTTTTTGGGGCGCAGTTTCTTTGCGAGTATTATGGTATCACAAAAAGAGCCCTAATATTTGGATGTTCTCAGATCAGTTACAGAGAAAGAATGACAGGAGCTTTAGTTGATCAAAGTAAAACGCCAGCCTAAGCTAGGAATAAATGCCTGTCACAAGTGATACAGCAAAACGTTGTCGTTCACGACTGGTTCACGGATCTGCATCTGAGTTTGATCGATTGCGTTGCGATTAATTACAACGAAATGACACACTGGCGCCATCTATCGGTGCGTCTGGAACACTTCCGAATTGACTTGGGGTTTTGTAGTACTTGGTACTGCAGTACTAGAATATATTGCAGTACTTGTCAGTATTGTAGTACAAGACTCAAGGATTCGCAGTATTCGGGAAAACTAATGTGGGCACTTCTCGTGATATCTCGGGAGTGCTTCTGATGCATAATAGGTCGCTTATAACATCATTGTCAAAGTTATTTGCAGCGCATGATGAGAAATTACCACAATACTATATCTTTTATTAGGAGAACTAAAAGTCTGTAGTTTGAAATCCTGTAACATTTAACAGGTGCTGAACCAATTAAAAATGCCCTACTTTTTTGAGTGAATTAACTTTTTGTAGCTCGGCGTCTTTCTTATAGGGTGCTTTCGCGCAGGAGTGCCGACCCAAAAAGTAAGAAAATTCGTGGCCAGTAAGTTTCTTTATGAAGGAGGCAACTTTTGTTTGATTTGAATTAAGATGCACTGATGCGCAGATCCTAGCAAATTAGAAAAAAACAGCTAGGTAAACACCAACGCCTAAAGATGGTCATCCGACTTTTTGACTTTTGTTTTCAATATCTGCAACACATGTCCTGTAGTCCTACCTAGAGTAACACCTCCGGTCAAACTGGCTAATTTAGTGTCAAATGAAGCGAGTGCACTTCGCCCCTTGTGTAACTCGTGCGGTGCCGCAAGGTTACTTTTAGTGTCACTCATCGAAGAACGCACTTGACATCGAGTGTGATCCGTGAACTCACTACAGTTGATCCCGGAGATCGAGTGTGTAGCCTCGATAGCAGTGGAGTAAAAAAACCTAATGGAAGACAATAAAGCTGCGTAAAATTAATGCACTTTTAGAGAAGTACTATTAGATATGCGCTTGTTTTATGCCAATAAAAAGTAAGTCTAAAAAGAAACGTGAGTCTACTTTCCCGCACAGCACTCGCAGAGCCAATCACCGTAACTTACGGAGGCAGCTCAGTGGATGACTAAGCCGAAACATATGTATGGACCGAAAAACGCCGTCTGAGTTGTACGGAACGTCACGCATGAATTGCTTAACGCCAAATTCGGAAATTTCACTTAAAATGAAGGGCCCCTCCACTTCCTCGAGGAAGGCGCGAGGGCCGGCGGTGGCCAATCGCGAAGACGGATCCGCCGTCGCGATTGGCCAGCGCCGGCCCTTGAGCCTTCCTCGAGGAAGTGGAGGGGCCCCTCAGTTTGAGTGAGGTTTGTGAATTTGGCGGTTAATGTTACAACTCAGACTTCGTTTTTTGGTCTGAACATAAGTTTCGGCGTCGTCATTCGCTGAGCTGCTTCCGTAAGTTGCAGCGATTGGCTTTCCGAGTGTTGTGCGGGAAAGTAGACGCACGGGCTTTTTTTAGAGTGCCGCACCGAGTGGGATATGTGAACTCACCACACTTGATCCAGGAGACCAAGTGTGTAGCATCGATAGCAGTGGAGTAAAAAACCTAAGAAAAGACAATAAACCTGGTAAAATATATGTATTTTTCACAGAAGTGTTATTAGATATGCGCTTGTTTTATGCTAACAAAAAGTACACTCTTTAAAAGCCCCGTGCGTCTACCTTCCCGCACAACACTCGGA